GCACACCTATATGTTATACCCACAGGAGGTTTTATGACATCCCACCATTGTAAATAGGCATTACTATGGAGTTGCTCCCCCTTTGCAGCTATAACGGCTTCTGGAAAGCTTTCTACAAGATGTTGGAGAGTGTCCAGAAGATTTGTGAGGTCAGACACTGATGTTTGACGAAAAGGCCTGGCTCAAGTCTCTGTTCTAGTTCATCCCAGAGGTGTTCGATGGGGTTGAAGTCAGGGCTCTGTGAGGGCTAGTCAAGTTCTTCCACACCAAACTCACCCAGCCAGGCCTTTATGGACCTAGCTTTGTGCAACAGGGCTCAGTCATGCTGGAACAGAAAAGGTTCTTCCCCAAACTGTTCCCACAAAGTTGAAAGCATATAATTGTCCAAAATGTCTTGATCTGCTGAAGCATTAAGATTCCCCCTCACAGGAACTAAGGGTTCTAGGCCAACCCCTGAAAAACAACCCCATAGCATTATCCCTCCTTCACCAAACTTTGCAGCTGGTACAATGTAGTCAAGCATGTAATGTTGGTAGTAATCTTGGTGATGTAAGGCTTGTATGCAGCTGCTCGGCCATGGAAACTCATGGCAGTGCACAGTTTTTCTGCTGATGTTAAAGCCAGAGGAGGTTTGGAACTCTTTTATGCACTCTGCTCCTCAGCACTCAGTGACCCACTCTGTAACTTTACGTGGTCTGACACTTCATGGCTGAGTTGCTGTGTCCTAAACACTTCCACTTTTCAATAACACCACTCACAGTTAATTGTGGAATATCTAGAAGGGAAGAAATGTCGCGAACTGACTTGTTACAACAGTGGCATCCTATTACAGTACCAGTCTTGAATTCATTGAGCTCTTTAGGATGACCCATTCTTTCAAACATGTTTGTAAAGGCAGACTGCATGGCAATGTGCTTGATTTTATATACCTGTGGCAATGGGACTGAATGAAACACCTGAAATAAATGAATAAGAGTTGTGTGGTAATGGAATTGAAAGAAATGACTTGAATGGAGCCATTCAGTGGAACTTTTTGAATGGCTAAGATTACCTGATATAACATTATATACCATAGTATAAGTGCTGCCTTGTGGAGAGAGATCTACTGCAGAATTCATACCACATCTTTCTTATCATGATTTAATATGAATCCTGTGATAATATATGCTTAAATGGAACATTATGTGCTTTGCTATCATAATAGGATCGATGAGATGTGAACTCAGTTGGACTCCAGCTGGTAAAAACCTACAAGAGAGACTAATGCATTTCAGAGTTACGTACATTTTTTGTACATTAAAGTACTCATAGCAAAAAAAGGGTAGGTCAAATATAGACTTTTTACATGTTCATGCAGTTAGATATTACTGAAGTGGTGAATTACTAGAGTTACAGTGTGCTATTCATAAGGCTGAGTATTTCAACATAGAACATTTTGACCTGTAACATCATAAAAAACTGATTTGCATGTGGTCCACATTTTACAGAGTTTAACTAAAGTGTTGGCTGATTTGCCATCATGGTTAATCTGCTGGACACGTAACTGAAGGCTTTGTGGACACCGAGCAGCAGAAATCAAAGACATAGCAAAGTGTTTGTGCTGGAAGTCAATCATCTACATTGTCTATTGTAAGAAGAGCAAATGAGGTACCATTGAAGACCATCTGGACTCACTCATGTGTTGCGATCCATGGCCACCTGATTGGGCCACTGACTATGCAGCTGTTCTACAAGCATAAGTTTTGTGTGCGGCCTTGTTGTTTTGGTGTCCTAATGTGTTTTTACAGCCTGACTTTGTGTGAATTAAATGTGCAATGATTTTTCATTAATTAATAGAAATTTTAAAAGAAATTAAGGTGCTTGCATTTTGTTACCATATGGCAACAGCATGCAACGGAACTGTAATCTGCAATGCATACAGTGGGGATAAACCAACACACTGCCATAATCTTTTAGGCATGAAAAATCATGCATATCAGCCAAATATGCATGTTAGCTTCATAAAACCATCAACAAGGAATGCAAAAAGTAATGAGAAAATAGCAGTGTCCTGTGTGGCCCACGGAAATGGATTCATTTGTTCATGTTGTATGCAGTGCACGTTACGGTTCCATTGTCACCTGCTGTTGCCATATGGCAACAAGTATATTTTGGCATTTTATACAAAATCCACACAATCTAAACTGGTTTTATTAATAGAAAAGTAAACGTTTTTATAACCCCTGCCTTGAATTTGTGTGGGAATATTGAAATTTACACACTCTCATTTTGTGCCTTGTAGATTGCCGTTATATTGTCCTATGTTGCCATTTGGCAACAATTAGATCTTAATGTTTTATGTAAAGCCCATAAAATAGAAACTGTTTTAATTCATGAAAAAGTAAACCGCTCGCAGATTGTTTCAACTTTTCTTTCTTGAAGTTGTAAGAATATTGAAGCATACACAACATTTTAGAGTGCTTGGGTCCTCACCATGTGATGTGTGTGAAAAAAAGAAGTATGGACTGCAACAGGAAGGCCAGATACATGGTCAGATACATACCATGTTACTTATAAAACCTTCAGTTTCCCAAAAGAAAAGAAAGGAAATGACTTTTATATTGAAGTCAGGCACAAAAATGGCAAAAGTCATAGTTGCCATATGGCAACGTATTGGTCTGCACGGGCCTGATTATTGATGCCTGCACTCGCCCAATTCAACCGCTAATCACGTCCGCCTGCACCCCCAAAATCAAGTTCTTGCCCACCACCCTGCCCCCAGCAAAACCTAGCACCATTTTTGTTCGCATGGCCAGTTCGACCACATGCCATGCCATCCCATACCTGCCTACTTTGGGCTACGCCTATGGACATCAACCACTCTCACTTATGTTTGCTGTAATTCACCAGTGTAGAATGTGTCTGTGCAACAGCCTCCAGACCCATCGTACCTCCACACACTCAGCTGCAAAATAAATGTTTCAATGTTGCAAACGAGAAGTAAACATTTTACATATTTTTAGGCCTAAACAAAACAATATGAACTTACACATGGCATCACACAATGTCTGTGTTTACATGCAAATATTTGTGTCAATCCGATTGAATACATTCCAATTATAGATTAAAACTGAGGTGTTTATATGTACTCTACTCAACAATCTGATGGAAAATGCATGTGTAGAGTACCACTTAGTGTAGACGTTACCATGACAACAAGCATCACGTGAGTCCAGTCAGAGTGAGAGGACCATTAGTGTGATACCTGAGTTTTCAGCTGCCACGCTTGTGTTTCTAATCACTTTAAAATGATGTCAGACTGAGGAAAAGTCCTTCACATGTCCTTATTAAAGAAGGCCGAGAGGAAGACGTCGTGTTCTGAGACACATAAGCTGGACGTCCGTCCCACCGCCGTCTTTTAAAGATCAGAGCATAAACTTCGTCTCCCCTGCAGACCAGTTTCTGCTCCGCCATGTTGAACGGTATAAACTTTCACTATGACGTGACGAACATGATCAGAACGGACTTAAACTTTCCGATAGGGAATGTAATCAGATACAGGCGTTTACACGGATATTATTCTTCTGTTTAACAGATTATTTACAGGATTACCCACCTCGTAGAAGTTGTATTCCAAATGGCCTCAATCAGACTAGACTGTTCTGACTGAGGTGTTTCCATGGACGTCTTCTATTCCAATTGATCTAATAGTCGGATTATTAATGGATTATCAGGCTGCATGTAAACTGGCTAATGAGTGTCATGTGTTCAATGGAAATTGATTAATTTGCTCCCATTGTATGCAGAACAGATTTCACTTCCAATATCAGCTGCTGTTGCCAAATGGCAACAATTATATTTTAGCACTTTATGCAAAACCCATACTATCTAAACTGGTTTTCTTTATGAAAAAGAAACAACGATAATCTCCACAGATTGTGTTTAATTTTTTTCTAGTATGTACAAATACTGAATTATACACCCTCCCATTGTATGCATTGCAGATTAAAGCTCAATTCACGTTGCTACTAATATTATTTTTATCTGTGTCAGGATTATATTATTAGCTGATTACTCTATTAGACATCTACACATCAGCTGAAATGAAATTAAAGCCAAGATAGATGTTGAGGCAAACTGGGACACAGGTTATAAAGCCAAAAACAGCTGTTGTGGACAAAAACATCAGTAAGATTTTATGCGGAAGTCATTTACTGGATGTTCTTTAGCCTCATGCATTTTGCAGCTTGTGAGAAATACTAACCTGTTTTTCTCGCTTCTACAAGCAGCCAATAATTGTCCAAATGTAAACCGCTGATCCACCCACCAACCCCACCCGAGCCGGCGACTAGTTGGCTGTTTACGTGCAGTGACCACCGTACTTCAAAATTAATCCCACCCACAAATTATTAGGCAGGTCACGTGGGAATGAAGTCAATTTCCATGCCGTTATATATTTCTGAGTGATGGTATCAGGGAGGCTCTCTGAGCTTGCTGAGCGTTTTCCCTCCAGGATAGGTGGAAGTGGTGGGGGGTGAAGCATAATGTTTCAGGTGGGGAAATATCACTACATTCTGATTGAAGATTATGGGAAAACAATAATTTTTTCTTTGAAACAATGTGATGAATTGTGCTTAACATGAGCAGGAACACGATGAAAAGGTCTATTTTGAATTCAGGTTGACTTTAACACAGATGACTGGGGCCTTTCAGCATCAAATCCACAGTAACTTCAGTGCCTCACACAAGCGTGCAGCGTCTTTACCGAGAGCGTGTTCGGCTCTGCAGCGGGTCACGCCGTGACTCCTGTGTGAATGTCACGTTTAGCAGCTCAGTGGGAATGTGCACAAAAAAACAGCCTCAACAAATGAAGTCTATTTTAATGCAGCGTAACACTGCAGCCCCTGCCCTACTGAGCTACAGCACACACTGTGACACAGCATAGACAGGCCTGACAGGAGACGCTGTACTCCTACTCACTCACTCAGTCTCTCTCTCTCTCTCTCTCTCTCTCTCTCCAGGCTGTGGAGACAAACCTGGCCTCTAAAGACAGCCACTGGGTGTTTGTGAATGAGGTAAGAGAACTGCTTTCTGCTTTCTCTGCTCTTCTCTTCTCCAGCCCTATCATGCCTCAACCCCCCACTCTCTTTTTCTTCTTCTGTCTTTCTTTGTCGCCCCCTGTTTTCGGCTCCCCCTCTGTTTCTCTCTCTCTCTCTCTCTCTCTCTCTCTCTCTCTCTTTCTTTCTTTCTTTCTTTCTTCCTTTTATCTCTCCCCCTCTGTCCTTCCCCTCTCTGAATTTCTTTTTCTCTTTGTCTCTCTTCCTCCCTCTCTCTCTTTCTGTCTTCCTTTTTTTATCTTACCTTATGCCCCCTTTCTTTCTTTCTTTCTTTCTTTCTTTCTTTCTTTCTTTCTTTTCTTTCTTTCTTTCTTTCTCTCCTTCCCTCTGTCCCCTTCTCTCTCTTTCTCATTCTCTCTGTATCTCTCTCTCTCCACTTCCCGTCTCTTTCACTGTCTGTCTGTCTTTTTCACCTGCTCGCCCTCTTTATCTCTCTCTCTCTAGCTATTTCTTTTCATTTTTTATTTATTTCTCTTATCACTCTTTCCCTCTGTCTTTGCTCTCTTCTCTCATCTCTTCTCTCTCTCTCTCTTTCTCTATTTTTCTCTCCTCCTCTCTCTGTCCCTCTCGCTCTCTTTCACTCTCTCCCCCTCCTCCTTTCTCACCCTTCTCTCTCTCTCTCCTCCTTTCTCCCTCTCTCTTTTTCGATCTCTCTCTCTCTTCCTCTCTCGCTCTTTTCCATTCTCTCTCCCCCTTTCCCTCTCTCTATTTTTTGTCTCTCTCTGTCCCTCTCTCTCTCCCTCTCTTTTTCCCATTCTCTCTGTATTTCTCTCTCTCCTCCTCACCCTGTCTCACCCCCCCCCTCACTCTCTTTTTCCATCCTCCTCCTCAGTCTGTGTGCAGTACAGATGTTTTCTGTTCATGCCCTGCTCTTTTGCTGTGAATACCTGTCAAGTAACGGACAGTTCTTTACGGCGTGTGTGACCGTGAATGCTCTTCTTGTTATTACTGTAATGTCTCCATTTGATGGTGTGCAAATTGATGCTGTGTGATGGCCCAGCGTCAGAGAAAACCGCAAGATTCAGGAAGAAAACGTGTCCTGACACGCGAGACTGCCGCGCATTACGCGGGAAAAGGCAAAGCGGCGCTCGGTGCTCCGCTGCTGGCAGAAAGCACGGGAAAATGGCCCAGTGATGTCAGAGGCAGCATGATTGCCTTGTCATTTTTCTGTCTGAGAGTGTTTTCTTACAGCCAAACGATCAATTCTGTGGAAAAGGGAATATGTGTGCTTACGGGCAGGCGGTGTTGTGGCTCCCGATCACACCTTGTTAGCAAACGTGTGGAAAGACACCATGCTCTGGGTGTCCATCACCAGGCCAGCTTCAGCATCTCATTATAACTTAGACATTTGAGCTGCATTGTGAGTGAAAATAAGAAATGATAAGTAAATTTAGTTATTAGCAAGTGAGATCTTTTTGGAGTATTTTAGTATTAATATTACAGAAATCCATAGAAATTGGGGACCCTTTATTTTGAGTGGTACTTTTTGGATGAAAACAAACTCTCAGTAACTTGTGAACAACATATCAATGATGTAGCAGCAGTGAAGCTTCTGAATGCATTCAGTGGATTATGAATAGATTTTTAATTAACTGTGTAAAAAATTGTTTATAGTCTGTGGAATTCAGTTGTTTTTCATTTAGCATCTAAAGTCAAATATGTAGATGTTTAACCTGAGAAGCGACTGAACATGTAACAGGTTTAATACTGACCGTCTCAACACCCTCAACAAGCTGTTACAGACACACTGACACCATTCTGTACCTGGAGTTTAACTGGATTAGGGTTTGGTTAAATTAGGATTAGGGCCAGGGTGAGAGATAGGATTAGGTTTTGGGTTGAGGTTAAGGTTAGGATTAGGATTAGGACCAGTGTGAGGGATAGGATTAGGTTTTGAATTGAGTTTAAAGTTAGTGTTAGGGTTAAGGCCAGGGTTAGGAATTAGGTTTTGGGTTGAATTTAAGGTTAGGATTAGGATTAAGGCCAGGGTGAGGATTAGGATTAGGTTTTGGGTTGAGATTATAGTTAATGTTAAGATTAGTGCCAGGGTGATGGTTAGCATTAGGTTTTGGGTTGAGGTTAAGGTAAGCGTTAGGATTAGGGCCAGGATGAGAGTTAGGAATTAGGTTTTGGGTTAATGTTAAGGTTAGTTTTAGGATTAGGGCCAGTGTGAGGGTGAGGATTAGGTTTTGGGTTGAGGTTAAGGTTAGGATTAGGATTAGGGCCAGGATGAGAGGAAGGATTAAGTTTTGGGCTAAGATTATAGTTAGTGTTAGCATTAGGGTGAGGGTGAGAGTTAGGATTAGGTTTTGGGTTGAGGTTAAGGTTAGGGTTAGGATTAGGGCCAGAGTGAGGTGCTGTGTAAGGTTAGGTTTTACTTAATGGAAGTACCATATTTGGTCTACTTCATGTAACATATTAACAACACATCATTAATGTAAGTAATGTATCAACAGCACATCTTCAAGACGTTTACTTCAAAGTATTCAGATCCTTCACTACTGCTACTACACTGATATGTTGTTGATGTGTTATTGATACTTTGCTAAGAGTTTATTAATCATCTACAAATGACCGCTCCAAATAATGTTACCAGGTCAAAATGTTTGGGCATTCCTTGTTATACCATCATCTTTAAAGGGAACTTTGGACATACTTAAATGATTGAGATAATTAAGGTTGAATGGAACCAGGAGTTATGATGTCTATAACACAAATATAGCAATTTATTATTAACCATTATTCACCAGCTTTTATTTGGAATGCTGATGATCATAAAATAATGGAAAATCTGACAACATATGTTTTCTTTTGGGACTATTTTGCCTCACAACGCCCTCACAGTGCACCTCTCCATCAAAAATGTATTTTAAAAGTATGTTTTAGGTCAAAACCCTCTGATAAAACAGTTTATCCGACATCAGGCAGTCATAACCATTTCATGTAATAGCTTTCTGTGAGGGAGCTTTTAGGGGTGGATGTCTGGTTCCTATCACCACCACTGTGAACAATTCCGACTCTGTAAGTTTCTCTGGAACAACTCTGATTTACTTTGTTTACATCTCAACCATTTAATTAGGCACAAATTTTGCAAAATCAGTGAAGTTCCCCATTAAGGCATTACATGCATGTCCCGCCTCCCTCCCGTAGCTGAAGCGCCTTGCAGAGGGAAGTTGTGAAGGGATGTGACAAGGCAGGCAGGCAACGTTAAGTGTGCCGTTGCCAGTCAGTCAAAATCTCTTTCACCAACTCCCTGAAGACTGCACTATCAGAAACAAGCGGTTGTCAGACCACTGTTTTAGCTCACTCAGAGCAGTGTCAGGCTGACAACAGGGCACAGTGCCAACATGTGCAAACTGGTCCTGAGTCAGAGCTTAAAATTAAATGCACACCCTGCAAGAAGACGTCTTAAATTTGTTAAAGACAAAAGCTTTTTTGCATGTGTAGTGTTCTCCATAGTTAATACGTTAACCTGCTCCCTTTCTAGTGCACTTCATGGTTAAGACATTAGACTGCTTCCTGTGTAGTGTACTCCATCACTAAGACATTATCTTGCTCCCTAGTATACTCCATAGTTGATGCAGTAGCTTGCTCTCTCAGTAGCACAGTCCCTACTTAAGAAAAGCATTCGCTCCCTATGTAGTGCACTTAATAATAAAGACATTAGCTTGCTCCCTATGTGAAGCACTCCATAGTTAAGACATGTCCTTGCTGCTTATGTAGTTCCCTTTAGTACATATTATCTTGCTTCTTATATAGTGCACTCCAAGTTAAAGCCATAGATTTCTCTCTATGTAGTACACCCTATTGTTAAGACACAAGCTTGCTCCCTATTAGTGGCCTTCATAAGGTGTAAAAGAAATGGCTTGCTCCATTTGTGGAACACTTCATAGTGAAGACATTAGCTGGCTCCCTATGTAGTGCACTCCATGCTTAAGGCATCAACTTGCACTCTGTTTAGTGCACACCATAGTTAGGACGTTAGCATTCTCCCTATTCGGTGCAATCCATAGTTAAGTCAAGCACTTGCTCATTATGTGGTGCCCTCCAAACTTAAGACATTAGCTTGGTCCTTATGTAGTGCACTCTGTAGGTGAGATATTACCCTGCTTTCTATGTAGTGCACTCCTTAGTTAAGACACTAGATTGCTCCTCATTTAGTGCACTCCATGGTTAAGACATTAAACTGCTCCCTACATAGTGCACTCAATAGTTAGGACGTTAGCATTTTCCCTATGTAGTGCAATCCATTGTCCTTAGTTGGTCCCTATGTAGTGCACTCTACAGGTAAGACATTAGTCTGCTTCCTATGTAGTGCACTCATTGGTTAGGACACTAGCTTGCTCCTCATGTAGTGCACTCCATAGTTAAGAAATTAACTTGCTCCCTAAGCAGTGCACTCCATAGTTAAGACAAGCACGTGCTCCCTTGGTCCCTATGTAGTGCACTCTACAGGTAAGACATTAGCCTGCTTCCTATTTAGTCCACTCCTTAGCGTGCTCCACATGTAGTGCACTCCACTCTTAAGATGTTAGCTTACTAAGCTTACTAAGTAGTGCACACTGTAATTAAGACATTAGCTTGTTTCCCATGTAGTGCACGCCCTAGTTAAGGTAGTATCTTTCTCCCTATGCATTGCGCCCTTTAAAGTGCAAAAGAAATTGCTTACACCCTCTTCAGTGCAGTGCATAGTGAATTCAAGGTCTTGCTTCTTGTGTGATGCACTCCGTAGTTAAGATGTTGCCTTGCTCCCAATGTAATGCACCACATAAAATGCATAAGAAAATGCTGGCTTTTTGTGTAGTGCACTCCATAGTTAAGACCTCTGCTTGTTTCCAGTGTAAGTTGTTAGAGAAACTGCTCGTTCCCTATGTAGTACAGTCCAAAGTCGAGATATTAGCTCGCTCCCTATGTAGTGCACTCCGTAAGGTGTAAAAGATGATTACTACACTTACTAA